AGCTGAAGAAATGGGCGTCCAAGGGCCTTGCATCCTGCGTCCTTGCTATACGGGTCGACTGCACCCAGGCTCAATCTTGCGTTTACCCGATTCTACGCCCCCCCCCCGCGTCCAATCAAGAAAGTCACGGCGGGGGGTCTCTTGCAAGTTTCGGCCTTGCCTTTGGGGGCCGCTGCACGGCCCTGGGGGCCGTCCAACGACGGCTAAGGATGAGAAGCCGGCGCTGGGGAATGGGCCGAGACCTGTATGGGTGCACGTTCCGAAAGATCGTGGCATCGCGGGTCTCGGCATGTACTGTGGCTTCGCGTCATGCGATGCAGATTGCGAAGCAGCCTGCGATGGCTCCTCTTTGTTGAAGTGAAGCTGCCTCCTCCTGCGAAGCAGCATCCCGCGATGCTTCTCCTCGTGTGAGGGAGAACATAAGGGGGGGACTGGCCCTTGGGGGGAAGCACCGAGCTGGAGTCGGTGACACATTTCCGATACATCGGCGACAGGCCGACGATAGCGACACGATAGCGAAACCGCACGTTCCCAGGCGGGGCGGGCTATCGGGCCCCTGCATTGACCCCCTATCGAATTCGGCCCCCCCTGGAGCTTCTCCCGGATCCCCCGAACGTTTCTCCCGACCGTGCCTCAAACTACTCGTCCCCTCCCCTGCCCCTATCCTCCCCCTCTTGCGAAGGAGTCCTCAGACCCTCCGCGCCAGGGTAACAGGTCTCCTCTCCTTCGCCGCCGCCGCCGCCTGCTCCCAGGGAGGCCCAGGATGAGGATAAATCGCTCCAAAGCGTTCCGAAACGCTTTGTTTAGTATAGTACGGATGGGCAACCTTCCAAAGGATACCCTTGCATCATTGCCTCCTCGGTCCATCCTTGGCCACTTTAGTTGGCCGCGCCCCGCTCGAAAAGCTAATGAAATGGGCGTCCAAGGCCCTTGCATCCTTATCGCGCATCCTTGCAATGCGGGTTGACAGCACCAGAAACGGAATTCAGACCGATCTTCTCACGATGCTCGAAGCCCCACTGGATTGGAGGAGGAAGGGGAGGAGGAGGAGGAGGAGGAGGAGGAGGAGGAGGAGGAGGAGGAGAAAGAAGAGGCGGGGGCCGCGGTGGCGGAGCTCGCGCGGCCGCGCGGTGGAGGAGCGCCGGCCCGCCCTTCTTCCCGAGGAGGGAGGAGGAGGAGGAGCAGGAGGAGGAGGAGGAGGAGGAGGAGGAAGGAAAGGAGGAGGAGGAGGAGGAGGAGGAGCAGGAGGAGGAGGAGCAGGAGGAGGAGGAGGACAAGGAGGACGAGGAGGAGGAGGAGGAGGAGGACGAGGAGGAGGAGGACGAGGAGGAGGAGGAGGAGGAGGAGGAGGAGGCGGGTGCGGCCGGGAGCGCGCGATCCCCCGCCGCCGCCGAGGCGCGAAGTAGGCGCTGGGCCGCCGCCGCTCCGCGGAGAGGGCCCCCCGCTCCAGCCGCCCCCCCCCCCTTTGCTCTTGGCATCGCTCGGACGTGCGCATTGATCCTCTGGCGAGGACCATCGAGGAGCATCCTGGATCATTTGGCGAACAAGCCACGCACGAGACCGAAAAAGGCACAGGGAATGGACGTCCGAGCGATGCCCCCCTTTGCTCAGAGGAGGACAAGGTGCGCATGCCGCTACCCTTCCCCGTTTTCCCATTTTTGTAGGGAGCCGAAAAGTGTCATAAACATAAAAACTCGGAGGTCCGCGCGGATTTCTCGGATCGGCGCTGGACCCCCCTCCCTGGCGCGCGGAGCACGCCAGTGGCGGCGCCGGAGGCGCCGCCGGGGGGCCCCAGCGCCGATCCGAGAAATCCGCGCGGACCTCCGAGTTTTTATGTTTATGTCACTTTTCGTTCCCCTATTTTGGGTCTCCTGGGAGCTCCTCGTTGCCACCGCTGGATTTGCCTCGAAGTTCTGGTCGGAGCGCACCCCGGGAGAGGTCCAGGGAGGAGTGGCGGCATCGGTACCTTTTGGCTTCCCGCTTGCGGGGGGCAGGGGCCGAGCATTCTCTTCGGGTGGAGGGCAGAGGGTGAGATCTGACATGTCGTTTCGATTGGTTTTTGAGGCTCGGGTGTGCAAAAGGTGAAAATCACAAGACGGATTCATGTTCGAGGTGCAAAAGCCCATATGGATTTCACCCTGAGCCCTCCACCCTGAGAAAATGCTCAGGGGGGGGCGGGGGCGGGGGCGGGGATCCAGGGTCGTCCATTGCGATCCGATTTCGATCCGGTCGACTCCGATTCGGAGGGCGCGTACTGGGGGGGCGAGGAAGGGGGGGGGGCAGCAAGAAGGCGGTGGGCCGCCGCCGCCCCGCGGAGAGGTGCCCCCTCCGCCCCCGCCCTTCCCCCCCCCTTTGCGGGGAGCGGGAGGGGGGGGTGCGCGTACGGGGATCCAGTCGGCGATTCAAAGATAGGGTCCTGAGGGATGGGGGCCTAAGGATAGGAAAGGATCCAAGCGTGGATCTACGTTGTTGTTTGGGGCACCCCGTCCTTGGCACCCCATCCCTGAGGACCCCATCTTTGAACCACCGATCCAGGGTCCAGTTCGAGCCGAGCGATCCGACTTGATGTCGATTCTGGCCGGCACGATGTCCACTTCGATTCCGAGTCGAAGGGCGCGTAGGGGGGGGGTGATGAATGGGGGAGCGGCGAGGGCTGCATAAAAGGGGGCTTTCAGGGCCACTGGAGGAGCCCTTTCGGGCCCAGAAGGGGGCCTTGAGGGCCCGAAAAGGGCACCTGTCACCCCCCTCCTTTGACCTGGCATCGTCGGCGAGGACCACCGATGAGCATCCTTGATCATTTGCGAAAAAAACCACGCACGAAACCGAAAAAAACACAGGGAATGGACGTCCGAGCGATGGCCAGTTGATCGCCCCCATTCATTGACGCCCAACCGATCTTCCGACGATCCGACGTGGCCCGACGGCTGCATGGCCCTGGTGAGCAATCGGGACGCAGCAGACCCGATTCGATGTCAGTTCCGTGCCGATGCGGCCCGATCCGATACTTGGCATCGCTCGGACGTGTGCATTTTTCCTCCGGCGAGGGCCATCGAGGAGCATCCTTGATCATTTCGCGAAAGAACCACGCACGACACCGAAGAAAGCACAGGAAATGGACGTCCGAGCGATGGCCAGGATATGCACAGTTGTGTTCAGTACGGTTTGCCGGCTGGATGCTGGCAGATCTTGGGAGCAGCTTTGCGCGTAAGAAGCTGCACATTGTTCATATCGTCTAAGTCTTCGAGAGTGCTTCGATTTTGTGGGGGCCAGGATCCTCTCATTTCTAATTCTTCTATCCTGGGCCTCTTCCTGGCCACTAGGGGGCCATGAACAACCAGAAACGAGCATACTTAGAAATGAGCACGACTAGAAATGAACGACGTGTAGGTTTCCTTTGACTTGGGCAGGTCTCATTGCATTTCATTCCCCCCCCTTCGCTCCCCCTTCGCATTCTTTTCTTTGCAGGCAGCGCTGGGCCGAACCGGCGTGCGAGTGAGTCCAGATATCCTTTGGGGCCTGACGATGGCCCCCTGCCCCCCTCCGAGCAAGTAAGCTTGCCATACTCAATAGAAAAACTGTCTCTAAGTCGGGTCGGCCCTCGATACTCCTCCACTCCCCGCTCCCGAAGGAGTGGTGGACTCTGAGATCACACAATGTGCAAGCATTGCAACTTCGTGCACAGTCACGGCCGTAGCCCTCGACCCCACCTTTCTGCCAGCCTGCTCGGTCCGTCGTGTGAACGACAACTGCTCCGCATGGGTCTCAGGGGAGGTGACCCCCCTTCCCCCCACACTCCCAGATATACGACGATAGGTTGTCTTCCATGCGCGGTCCCTGAGGTCCCGACCCCTTCCCCGGAGGGCATCTTTTCGTTCCAGATCCATTATTGATAGTCCCGGGGCCGACAACGGGCCCCAGAAGCAGGACTCGTGGAAGCGCGCCCAGATTGAACAAAACCCGTCGTCGGAGATCTGGGCTCGTTCCTCTCGTCTTCCTCCTCTCTCCCCCGAATGGCAGGAGGTCTTTAGTACTGCCGCCCCCCCTCCCCAAAGTTCCCTCCTCCTCCTCCTCCTCCTCCTCCTCCTCCTCCTCCTCCTCCTCCCCCTCCTTCTCCCACCATCCGCGGAGGGGACCCCCTTGCTCTTAGCGGAGGCGAGCGGGAGTCGGCAACACGGTACCCTGACCTCCTCTCGTCGTTGTCCGTCAGATTCGGGCGTCGGAGAAACACGCCGGCAGGTTATTCAATGTTCCTGGCCTCGAGGGGCCATTTCACGGCTGCTGCACCGCAAAAGACGATTCGGGATGACGAACCCAGCCCTTGGGAGGAGGTCGGGATCCTCTGTTACCCGCGATATTGGAGGACTTCGAGACCCGACGTTGCGAAAAACATCGGCACTGCAAAACATCGCAGAGACATGCAACATTGCAGCACCGCCCTACATCTTATCTTTCTGCTGCACGTTTCGAGCTCGATCGATCTGTGATGGCCCTGGTGCTCGAAATTGGGGGAGAACGCCCGTTGTGCAAAAACTGTGACGCGAGGATATCAAGGGAGGTCACGGAGAGGACGAGGGCACGACCGCCCGCCGAAAGAGCTCGCCAGAGCCCTTACCCGAGGGGGGAGGGGGGCGAGGATGAGTTGAGGAGGAGGAGGAGGAGCAGGAGGAGGAGGACGAGGAGACGAAGCATCGAGGAGGAGGAGGAGGAGGAGGAGGAGGAGGAGGAGGAGGAGGGGAGGAGGAGAAGGAGGAGGAGGAGGAGGAGGAGGAGGAGGAGTCGAGGAGGAGGAGGAGGAGGAGGCGGAGGCGGAGGCGGAGGAGGAGGAGGAGAGGAGGAGGAGGAGGAGGAGGAGGAGGAGGAGGGAGGAGGAGCCGAGCTCGGCGAGGAGTCGAGCAGGGGGAGGTGCCGAGCAGGAAGACGAGTGCACGTCGGCCCGCCGAGGGAGCCCGCCAGGGCCTCCTCCCGAGAGGGGGGGGGGGCTCGGGGGGCCCGGCGGGCAGCGAGCTTGGGGAGGAGGAGGCGCGGGCCGCGGTGGCGGAGCTCGCGCGGCCGCGCGGTGGAGGAGCGCCGCCCCGCCCTTCTACCCGAGGAGGGAGGAGGAGGGGGAGGAGGAGGAGGAGGGAGGAGGAGGGGAGGAGGAGGAGGAGGAGAGGAGGAGGAGGAGGAGGAGGAGGAGGAGGAGGAGGGGATGATAAGAGGAGGAGGAGGAGGAGGAGGAGGAGGAGGAGGGAGGAGGACGAGGAGGAGGAGGAGGAGGAGGAGGACGAAGAGGGGGAGGGGGAGGGGTGAGGGAGGATGGTGGAGAAGGAGGAGGAGGAGGAGCCCAGATTTCCGACGAGATGTGTTTTCAGTCCAAGCTTATCTTTCTCCATATTTCGATTTCGGCCACAGCGGGTTTCTGTTTCGATCTGGGCGGTGTTCAATCGGCCCCGTTCGTGGGCACGGGGACATCACAAGCGGATCCAGGACAAGAAACTACCCCTGGGGAAGGGCTCGGGACGTCTGTGGCCGTGCATTGAAAAAAGGCATCGTCGGATGTCTGGCGACCTCTCATCCTCCGGCTCCTCTTCCCTCCTCCTCTCTCCTCTCTTCTCCCTCCTCTCGACTACACGCAAGAGTGTCCCTCGGAAAGATTGACTTTTGGTGTGCGGTTTGAGGGGCGCCCGTGGGGGCCCAACGCAACCGCGCAAGCCAGCACAGCCGCGCCACATCAACGATCGGCGGGACGAGCCTCGAGAGATCCTTCGCGCCAGCGGGCAGCCGCGAAATTCCGCTCATTGGATTCGAACGCCTCAAATGGCACCTCGAATGCGCTGCGAAAGCAGACGCTGCCAGGGGCCACCACGATGAGGTCTGGCACTGACGGGCCGCGTCGCGATGACGTCTGGCAAGGTCCGGCGTCGTGGCCCAAACCTTCCCCATCCGCGGGCCTGTAACATGTTGGAATATGTTGTATACCAGTTATGCGATAAGACCCACATTGGTTCGGAAAGGTCTTCAACCACGTTCTAAGATACGTATACCTGTTCCAATCAAACCAGAAGATTTGAGATTTTGGCTGGGATTCGAGACCAGTCCTGGGGCGGAAAACGCGCCCTCTGGTCGACTGGCCATCTCCAGGAAACAAATGCGCACTTTTAGGGTGCGCCGCGTATGCGTTGCGGTCGATTGCATGTTCTGCATGTGCTCCAATTATCTGGCTCTGTGCCCCAGTTTGCCCGATCGACACGCCCTCTGGACTTTTCCTTGCGGGCCGCTGAACAAAAAAGTATGCGTTGCGGTCGATTGCATGGGAGGGGCCCCAAACTTGGAGCGCTCAGATGCAAGCGCAACCGCGCGCGACGGGTAACGACGCGAGGTCCAGTTCATGCCAGAGCATGACCCGACCCAGCACCAGAGTCTGCGACGGGTCATTCCTACTCCTAGTCGATCCCCCTCTCATCGTGGCTCTCCTGTTCTTCTCTCCACCTCCCACCCCTCCGAGACGGGGGCAGGGCGACCTGCCCGACCCTGATTCGGACGGCGATCCCCCTCTCACCGTGGCCGTCCTGTTCGTCTCTCCACCTCCCCCTACCCCGAGAATGGGGCAGGGGCGACCTGCCCGACCCTGCTTCGGGCGGCGAGCTTCCTTCCCAGGGGGGGTCCTGTCGCGGGCCCACGGTGCGATGGGCTCCAGGCCGCGCCGCGGAGGCAGGGAGGGTCCTCGCCGAAGGGCCCCCCGCCCTGGGGGGACTCGGCCTGACCGTCGGACCTCTCCTCGTCTTCCTCCTCCTCCTCGTCCTCCTCCTCGTCCTCCTCCTCCTCCTCCTCCTCCTCCTCCTCCTCCTCCTCCTCTTCCTCCTCTCTCTCTCTCTCTCTTTCGCTCTCTCTCTCTCTCTCTCCCTCTCTCTCCCTCAGTGGCGTGCGATCCTCCCACTCCTCCCCCTTCTCCCCCATCCCTCCCCCAGCACGAGTCGGGCACACGAGGGTGGAGGATCCCACACCCCCTCGCGCCGGGACCACGATCACGGCGGAACGCGTCTTCTGGCAATTCGGGCTTCTGTGGGCCCTCGCTGGGCCCCGGGGCCCTCAGAGCAGAGATTGCCATGTCATTCGGTGAGCCCGTAGCGTCCGTTACGGGGCACGTCTTCCCCCTCCCCCCTCTCCCCCTTAGCGGTGCCGAGCCTACGCGGGGGGGCGGGGGTTCCCCCTCAGGCATGCCGCGGTGCTCCCAGCCATGCGCGGGTGCTTTAAAAGCATGCTGTGGCGCACGCAGGCCCGACGCCCCCCCCCCCCCCCCCCCCCCCCCCACCCCCCTAGCGGACGTCAAGGGGGGGGGGATCGGAGAGACAATCTCGAACGGCTCAGGATGAGACGTTGGCCCCTGGGGAACGCGTCGAGACCTCCAGGGGCCCACGCTGTGAGTTCGGGGGGCTCGGGCCCGAGAGGGGCCAGAGACCCGAGGAAGACAGTGCGGCATGCGTATAGAGTTGCGCGGATGTCTCGAGTCGGCGCTGAGACCCCCCCCCGGGCGGCGCCGCTCCTGCCGCGCGCCGTGCGCCAGGGGAGCGGTGCCCACCGCAGTTCCGAGACATCCGCTCGGGACTTCTGAAGAACAGTACATGGTTACTCCAGATTTCGTAATGAAAGGGAGGGGGTCTGGACCCTCCAAGACAAGCCATTTCAGACCCCCCCCGTGGGAGAACCCTCCAAAACATCGTCCCCAGACCCCCCCAGGCCCTCCAAGATAGCCTGGAAGAGACCCCCCCCCGAAATGAGACCCCCTCCCTTTTATTACGAAATCTGGAGTATGCAGTTTGCCGCTCCTCTGGGCACGCTGACGAGGCCTCCGTCCTCGATGCCTTGTCTTGCGTCCGTCGTCGCTCGTCTGCTGTTCGCCGCCGTCGTCGCACGTCGGGCGCCCAAGAGGGTCGCCAGGATCGAGGGCCCTGGTCCGAGGAGGTCGGATGCGGCCAGAGAGCTTCCCCTCTGGACTTGCTGCCTTCGGCCAACGTTCGCCGTCGCCCCTTGGGGGTAGCGTGAAATCGGGCCTGTCCCCTTACAGGGGGATTTTCGACGAAAAGTTAAAAATACAAAAAAAATAGTCAAACAAATAATTCAATAAAAATATACCAAAAATAATCAAAAAATAATTCAACAATAGTCTGGGGACTATTTTGTTTAGTATGTTTGTCCCTTTTGGGGGGCATTTGTGGGGTATTTTTTGTTTTTCGTCGAAAATCCCCTCTGTAGGGGGACACGCCCGACATAAGGGTAGCGCCCAGGCCCCCCCCCCCCTGGAGGGTCGGGGAGCCGAGGGTCGAGGGCCCCGGGGCCCTTCGGGGATGGCTGCGAGGGTTCGCTGCGTGAGGCTGTTCGGGGCCAGGAGTGGAAGCGCGCGCGCGCGCGCTTCGAGAGCCTCTGCCCGCGGTGGACCGTTCGCCGCCGCCGTCGTCGCTCCCAAGGAGGGTCGCCGAACCCCCCCCCCTCCCGATGGGTTTAGGACGCGTGTGCGAAGTTCAGGCTCGAGGAACCACCGAGGCTGTTGGAAGTCCCGCTCGCCGTCCTTGCGCCTCCAGGGGGGCCCTCTCGGGACCGCGGCTGGATCCCCTCCTGGGCAGACAGCAACCCTCAAAAGGTCCAGGGGGAGGGGGATCGGGGGTGGAGGTATTCCACAGTTGTGCATACAGCGCTTGTGTTGTGCTCACGGCCAGGACCTCTTGCTCAGCGTGTCGCGCCGCCGTGTTGTGGCCTACCACGCCTCGGCGCGACACGTCAACCACGACCCGGTCCCCACCCAACCACGACCTGGTCCCCACCCGACCCAGAAACGGCGCCTTTCAGGGCCCCAAAGGGGGCCTCCGGGGCCCGAAAAGTGCACCTCCCTTCCCCGCCCCCATGTATCGCCCCCCATTGCTTCGCGGGCCACGGCAGACGTGGGCAACAGAACTGTCGAAGCATGCTATGCAAGTCTGCCGCAATTCTGTTTGGGACTCTTCACATTTGGGCACGTTTCCCGCGGAAGCCTGGAAAGCAGCGGTGCGCAAGCATATTGTCCAGCGCACGCTCGTGTCATTCGTGTCATTGCTCATGTGCCTACGGGCACGCGGCTTCATTTATTCTTAAATTCGCGCCCAGACGTTTCTGCCCGCATCGCCCCCAGAGGCCCAGGCCTCGTGGCGTCCTGGGCAGACCACGGCTGCCAGCCTACCCGCAGCTGGGGCCTCCGAGCGGTGCCCGCTCTCTCGGACGCGCGAAGCATCTGCGACGGCCCGTGGCGCGAAGCAGTCCGCGGCAGGGTAGCTCCCTGAGGGGGGGCTTCAGAGGTCCAGGCAGCCTCGAGGGGTGCCCAAGGATCGACTGCACGGAAGAGTGACCCTTCGCTGGAGTGACCTTTGGTGTGGGCCCAGCGGTGTCCCCCGATCGCCGAGCGCGATGCGACAGCAGCGCCTTGCGCGCTCGGGTTTGGTCGAAAGGCGCGCATCAAAGGGCACTCTTGCCCAGGGTCACTCTTACCCCGAAAGGAGTGACAGAGCTGCCCAGAATGCTCCTCATGCTCGATCCTCGTCGTAGGCGTAGTCGTCGTCGTCGTCCGTTGTCCGTCGTCTTCTGTCGCCCTTCGTCGTTGTTCTTGGTCGTCGTCCGCCGCCGCCGCCGCCGTCGTCGTCGTCGTCGTCGTCGCCGCCGTCGTCGTTGTCGTCGTCGTTGTCCGTTGCTCGCCGCCGTCGTCGTCGTCGTCGTCGTCGTCGTCGTCGTCGTCGTCGTCGTCGTCGTCGTCGTCGTCGCTCGTCGGTCGTCCGTCGCCGTTGCTCGTCCGTCGCCGTTGATCGTCCGTCGTTGGTCCTCCGTCGTACCTCGCTGGTCCTCCGTCGTGGGTCGCCGCGGGTCGCCGAGATCTTCGTCGTTCTCGGGGCGCGTCTTCGCCCGTGCTCGTCCTGCCCGTCGTCCGCTGGGCCGCGCGCGCCGCGCCCGTGCAGAAGGGGAAGCCTGGCTGCTGGACTCGGGCGAGGAGACGGCGGCCGGGCTGCTCGCCAGGCCGCGGTCGGGGCGGCGACGGAGGAGGGGGGAGAGGCCGCGGGAGGGCGGCGACGGAGGAGGGGGAGGAGGAGGACGAGGAGGAGGAGGAGGACGAGGAGGAGGAGGAGGAGGAGGAGGAGGAGGAGGACGAGGAGGAGGAGGAGGAGGAGGAGGAGGAGGAGAGGAGGAGGAGGAGGAGGAGGAGGGGGGGGGGCGAGGGGGGGAAACGGGGGCAGGCCCCCCCCCCCCCCCGCGGTTTCTCTCCTTCCCCCACGAGAGGAGTGGAGGCTGCGGGGGGAAGGGGCGAGGAGGGGAGGACGGGGGGGAGGGGAACGAGGAGGGCGCCGAGGAGGAGGAGGAGGAGGAGGAGGAGGAGGAGGAGGAGGAGGAGGAGGAGGAGGAGGAGGAGGAGGAGGAAGGAAGGAGGCCAGTAGAATGGAGAGGAGACGGGAGGCAAGAAAGGTGCTGTCGCGCCAAATTTCAAATTTGTCATCCCACCTTGCAACCTATGCCTTCCCATTGTTTCGTTGTTGCTTTTTGTTCTCTCTCTCTCTCTCTCTTTCTCGCTATCTTTCTATCCGCCGACGGGTGTCCTACCGGACCCGGTTTCCCCATCTCAACTCATCATGTGAAGCGCAATCCGACAGGGGAGCTGCGGAGTTGGCGGGTGTCCGATGCTGGGCTCCTAATCCTCTACCTCTCACCGTCTGATTCTCATTGCGGAAGTTCGGAACCATTGGCGTTGGCAACACGGAGCAGCCAGACGTTTTAGGCAGCCGATGCTGGGCACAATGTCTGGAAGCACCCCAGCTACTGCGTTCTTTAGTGTTGCGTTTGCCCTCTTTGGCTGTTGACATTCAGGCTCGCCGCACGCTCGACTCAGTCACCAGGGCCACTTCCGATTCACTCCCCCGTCACGCCAGGCGATCACGATGTGCACCACAGCATTACTTCGTTTTCGGATGATGTCACGGTCGTATGTGGCTTGGTTGGCCGTGCAAATATTCAAACCGCGATCGGTCGCATTGCTCAGCATTTGCACATGGCAGTTTGTCATGTTGGGTTACCCGTCGGTCGTTGAAAAAAAGATATTCCTGGATTCCCAGCTCCCAGTTTGCTTTAGAAACCTTCCGATTTGAAGAGTCAAATGGTCTTCCCTCTTCCCTCCTCTTCAGGGGGGCGGACGGCAACCCAATCTACTTCCACGACATTCTTACATCAAGGTTATACCTACTTCTTCCGACCGACGGGTACGCCTCAACATGGCTAGCGCTAGCATTAGGTATTCCCAGTTGGGCGTGGCTCTAAACAGCTCGCCCAGCATTGCCTTTAGCAAGGGGGGTCTGAGCCAGATAACACATAGAGTTGGAACGTTGATTCGGATTGATTGGGATATTCTACAACATAGCGATATGTGAACCTCTTCACATGTTCTTGTGCAAGCGCATGGCATTCACCCATGAGCTGCTTTACAGAGCGACGCAGGGTCAATATTTCAGCCGTTCCCACGAAGCTAAGTGTCTCACAAAGAGGTCCTCCTTCGTGCCAGGCGTCCTTGCTCTCGTCTTGCCATACTCTCAGCGCGACTTATGTGTCTCCTCCGCTTGTTCTCTGTTAGATCCCCCACGTTGCGCGATTGCCGCCTCTTCCTTTGGCACACGCGCATTTCGCCAAGGGTCTCCCAACAAGTTTCGAGCTTTGGTCAGCTTTGCCCTGCAGTGAGCAGTAGCCCTTTCAAAGAGACATGCGTGATTTCGACCTTGTTACCAGCATGTGACTGGAGCCTTCCCGCTGATGCAGCCCGCATCACCTCATGCTGCCTCTGATCCTGACTTACAGACCAGGTTTCTTAGCTATCAATGTGGATCCACCGCTGCCGACTGGCGGGCTGACCACATGCACGTGAGAAACAAACACACACTGACAGCAATCATCCTCCGAAATGGGTCAGTGACTCTGTCTGCCAGTGTTCATAGGTGACTATTGTACGTTCGATCGAGTGGTCGCCCATCTCCAGAGACTCCCGAGTTGCCGCGCTTCATGGCGTGCGTCAGGATATCATGCGGCGATCGAGGAACGCACTCCCTGCATTGAGGAAGAACGGGCCGCTCAGGGCACAGATCGTAAGAGAAGCCGTCACGACAATAGGCTGAGCCTCCCGCGGTCAAGGGTTCGGGCAGCAGGCATTGTCGTCATTGCCGTGCCCGACGTCAAGTCGTCCTTGGGCCTGGCCACTTCCACCCCTCGACGAGTGTCTCAGTGACGCGCCCCACGCCCCCGGACACTTGGGACCCAATGTCCCACATGATCTCTGATAGTATCTATGCTGTGTTCTCGCGGGAAGACGGGTAGAACTTCAGCGCGCGCGAAGCGCGCGCACAGGTTCTAGTGTTTGTACATCTGCACGGGTTCCCCACACAGTGCTTGGACTTGCGGGTGTCTTACCTGCGTTCTAAGCTAACCGAGCCCCAGCGTCGGCCCCGCCAGCTTGTGACCGCCCGCCGCCGCCCGTCGCAAGCTCCGTCGCGCCGCTGGCAACTGAGCTCCAGCGTCGCTCCCGCTGGCTTGTGGCCGCTCGTCGCCGCCGCCGCCGCTGGCAGCTGAGCTCCGGTGTCGGCCTGGCCGCCTTGCAGCCGCCCGTCGCCGCCGCCTCCCAGCCAGCAATTGGGCTCTGGTGTCGGTCCGTCCGGCTCGTGGCCGCCCGCCGCCGCAGTCCGTCGCCGCCGCTTGCGCCGCGCTGCTTCACATGGCTGCGCGTTGCTTCGCACTGCGTTGCGCTGCTTGGTATCGCTTTGAACCGCTTTGCATCGCCTTGCTCTGCTTCGCACTGCGTTGCATTGCTTTGGCTTGTTTGTGTCACGGCTTTCCATTTCTGATGGTGCGTTGCTTTGCCAATCGCATTACATTGCATTGCACTGCCTTGATTTGCAGCGCGTTGGATCACTTTACATTGTTTTGCATTGGTTTGCATAGATGTGCGTCGCTTTTCCATGCTTCACATTGCTCTGTGCTGCCGTGCATTGCTTGGCATCTCACTGCATTGGTTTGTATTGCTTGCTGTTGCGTTGCATTGCTTCACATCGTTTTGCATTTGTGTTCATCGATGTGCATTGCTTGGCATTGCTTTAATTGCGTCGCTTGGTGTTGCATTGCTATGCGCTGAATAACCTTACTCTGCACTGCTTTGCATTACTTCGCATTGCCTTTCATTGCGTTGTATTGCCTTGCATGGTGTTGCGTTTCATGTTTGCGTCACATAGTTTGCATCAAAATGATTTCACCACCCAGTTCGCACCGCATATATTGTACGACATCGCAATATGGGGTCCATGCTGGCTAGTACGCGTACGTATACACATATACATACATACATACATACATACATACATACATACGTACATTCATACATAGATATTACATACATACCTACCTACGTACTTACATACATACATACATACATACATGCATACATACGTACACTCATTCATACATACAAACATACCTACATACCTACATACATACACACACATACATACATATATGTATATAGAAACGCCGTCGGCCTGGTCGGAAGCCCCCCAGGGGGCCCAGACCCAAGTGCCCCTTGCCTTCGCATCCGAACGCGCCGACGATGCCCGCGCGAATCATGTACATAAACATGTGCACGGCCGCGCGGGCATGTGTAGATACGTATCATACGCCTAAGCACGATCATACGTGTACATTTATATCGATATGTATCTCCCGATCGCCAGACAGACATACGCGAGTGAGGAGAGAGGTGGGAGGAGGGAGGAGGGAGGAGGGAGGAGGGAGCGTGTGTGAGGTGGGCTCTCCCTGCCTGTGTGTCCCTGCCCCCCCCTGCCCGTGCATCTCCCGCCCGCCCGCGGCCGCAGGCGGCTCCCGCCCGAGGAGGCCGGCGCGCGAGGCCGCGGGGCACCCCCGCACGACGACGACGACGGCGACGCCCACCGCTCCGCGCCGCGGCCTCTGGGCTGCCAGAGGGCGTCAATGGTGAATAAAATGATAATATCATTCCAACAGTGTCCAACATGTATATAAATGATAATTCTCATTGCATTTTACAACAGTACCAATTTGTTTTATTTATCTTGAATTTTATGGTATAATAGACTTTCCGAAGCAATACTCAACCAAAAACAATGATCGCGAAAACATTGATCCAAATTGTCAAACAAGCCGAGGGCCTCACCCGTGCGGCTAGAGCCGGGAGGTGGGCGGCTTCTTGGTGGGAGGGAGGCCTCCCTCAGGTGGGCGGCTCTTGGGTGGCGGGGAGGGGGCGGAGCTTTCCAGGCCTCCCGGGTGGGGTCGGAGTAGACGTCTGGACGCCCGAAATGGGCACGGAAAGAATGGGTACGATGCCCAACAGCAGTTCCTGTTCATTTTGAACAGGGTTCGCTGTCCACGCCGCCACGGCCTGTGTCCATTCGAGACAGAAGGCCGCCTGCCCAACAGCGGCCGCTGTTGGTTCGGGACAACATGTGTTGTCGGGCATTGTACCCACTGTTTCCGTACACATTTCGGGCGTCCAAAAGACGGGGTCTGAGGGTCGCGCCGCAGCGCCGGTGCGTCGGCGATGCGGCTCGATGTGGAGCCCGATTTGCTTCACGTGGACGTCGCCGATGCATCGCCGATGCATCGCCGATGCGTCGCCGATACATCGCCGATGTATCGGCGGTGCGGCGCGTTCCTTCGACCTCATCTACTCCGACCCAATCTGGGAGGCCTCAATCCTGCAGCGAGGTGCGGAGAGGGGAATGTATTCTGTGACGATGAGGATGGCGATGGCTTTGACGGTGGTGGTGATGATGATGATGATGATGATTATGATGATGATGATGATGATGGTGATGGTGATGGTGTTGATGATGATGGTGTTGAGGATGTTGATGATGATGATGATCGTGGTGATGATGATGCGTATGATGATGTTGATGATGATGCTTATGATGATGACGATGATGATGCTGGTGATCATGATGATGATGATGGTGATGTTGGTGATGGTTATGGTGGTGGTGATGGTGGTGATGCTGATGCTGATGGCGATGACGATGAAAATGATGACGACAATGATGATGATGATGATGATGATGATGATGATGATGATGATGATGATGATGATGATGATGATGATGATGATGATGATGATGATAATGCTGATGATGATGCTGATGATGCTGATGATGGTGGTGGTGGTGATGGTGGCGCGGGGTAACGAAGCATGCAGCCATTGGGAGGCCATCCTTCTTTTCCTCGTCCTCCTCTCCTATCTCTCTGCCTGATGCCTGATTCCTGATGGCTGAGCGTCGTTCGTAGCCTCCCCCCCAGGGCCGGTCGAGCCTTGGGGGGGTTGATAAAACCAGGGCCAGGTGACCCTTGGAGCACCGCTCCAGTGGTCACACGCGGCGCACGTATACTTGAGTGCAGGCAGATGTAAAAAATAGGTGACAGGTCGAGGAGGAGGAGGGAGGAGGAACGAAATCCTCCTCACTCCTCCGCATCCTCTTCCTCCGCATCCTCCCCATGCCAAGAAAAAAGATGCCATCGCCGCCTGCCGCGGTCCTGGCCTGGCCTCCGCCAGACAGCGGAGATCTTTCAACCTGCTCCGCGCCGCGAGTGCCTGGGGCGCCCGGGCCCCAATCCCTCCTCTCAAAGATGCCACCTGTCGAGGTGGGCGGTGCGCTTCCCCTCGCCTGAGGCGCTCGGGCCCGCACCCTGGCCTGGCTCCGATTCGGCAACCAGCGGGGCGAACTCCCTGGCCACGCCAGACGCAGGTTCCCCAGCACATTCCCTCCGTGTGCTGTGCTCGAGTGCTTCACTTTGGACACGTCCGCAGTGATGAACCATGATCACTGTCGTCTCAAATGATCCGTCCGTTAGTACTCATCCAGTCACTCAGGGATCCAGTGATCAGCAAACCAGCACAAAGGTAACATATTCGGGCCTCTTGAACGCCCTTTTGTGTACGTAGACGTGCCACGTCCATGTCCAGCCAGCTGTACGTCATCATAGCCGCACCCCTGTCGGAAGGCAAGCGTGATCGTCACCAACGATGTGCCAGAATCTCCCTCACGGGACGCTGCCGCAACGAACAGGGGTGAAAGTGCGCGGGAGGCAGGCTCAACCGTCACCGACAATTGGCGAGACGCCCCCTCACGGGACGCTCCCGCACACTCGGTCAGCTGAAAGGTACATGTGGAACCGGTAGACGGTGCATCTTAGAGAAAGTATCCACCGTCCACCCATTCGTCGGTCCTCCCCCGTCAGAAGGCAAGCACAACCGCCCTCCCCCGTCAGAAGGCAAGCAGAACCGTCAGAAGCGCATTCATTGCTCCTCCTCCTCCTCCTCCTCCTCCTCCCTTCTTTCCCCCACTGCTCCCTCTCATGCTACTCCCTCCTCCTGTCCGACGTCCTCCTTGTCCTCCTCCTCCTCCTCATTCTTCTCCTCCTCCTCCTCCTCCTCCTCCACCTCCTCCTTCTCCTCCTCCTCCTCCTCCTCCCCCCCCCTGCTCCTTCCCACGCTCCCCCGAGATGAGGCGCGAGGCCCGGCAACAGAATGCCCGAGACACCTTCCGCACGCGTGGAGCGTGGAAGGGCCGAGAGCCTCGACACGCGGGCCCCGCAGGGTTGCTCCTCACGTCAGAAAAAAACATGTTGACGGGTCCGGTTAATCATGGCGTTTTCTTTATATTGGAGCTCAGGGGGTCCGGTTTATGAATGCCCCCCGTCGAAGAGGGGGGTCCAGAATATTAGGTCGCATTTGGAGGGGGGTCCGGTTTTTTAAGGGGGGGGGGGGGGGGGATTAATGAGGGATTTGAAGTTCACGATGTTTCCATCATGAGACCTGATTGTGCCGGATGTTTTTTTTTGTGCGGGAGGAGGCGAGCATCGAAGAAGACAAACATCATCATTTGAATTGTTTTGGAGTTCCGCGCAGATTGTTTTGGGGCCTTCCGGCGGCGCCTCCAGCGCCGCCCCTGGCGCTGGGAGCGCGCCAGGGAGCGGGGGGCGAACGCAGATCAAAGGAACCCGCGCGGACCTCCAAACAGTTTTAACCTTATGCAGTTTTTCTTCCTCTTTAGGAAAAGGACAAACAATGCCCACCGCACGGCGTCGGCAAGGGTATAAGGACGACCCGCATTGCCAGAGAAAGTGATCCACGGGCCAAACAGGCGCAATGATCCCATCCTTCGGGCCGGGTGCCCCACAGGCCAGGACAACATGTGGATTCGTTTTGGGCATTTGCCCGGGTTGGCGCGAGGGTTCCTTCCTTCGGGCGTTGCGTAATTGGGGGGGGGGCCGGCGGTAACTGGGGTGGTGAAGAAAGGCGCACCTCTGATGTATGTTCCCCTCTGGGGGACGGAAGCGGCGAGAAAAAGCGGTACGTTTCTCCGCCCCCCAGCCTACCGCACCCCGTTAAGCAACGCCCAGTTCCTCGGACGGCAGGAGGGAGCATGGAAACTCCAGAGCAATCGCACCGCGTCAGCAAGGACGGCGAGCAAGCATCATGAGTTCTCGCATGGGACGGATGCTCCGCAGACCAGAGCCAAGAGGTATAATTGACACTTCCCGTACCCTGACAAGCCCATCCAGGCACGGTGCCCATGAGAGCTAAGAGGAGGGAGCAGGAACAGGCTCTAATAGCAAAATGAAGGGTGCAGCAAGGGTGATGTGGGAGATCTTTGGGAGCCAGGGAAGGGGGGGGGTCCTGGAGAGCCTCTTGGGGCCATCCCCCTGGCCCATATGAGGAGGACGAGGAGGAGGATGAGGAGAACGAGGAGGAGGAGGAGGAGGAGGAGGAGGAGGAGGAGGAGGAGGAGAAGGGAGGAGGCAGGAGGAGGAGAAGAAGAAGGAGGAGGAGGAGGAGGAGGAGGGGAGGCCTTCTCGGATCTTTGGTTGTGAGCTCCTCAAAGACGTTTCGCGGAACTATCTTGAATCTTCTTGGGGCCTTCTTGGGGTTTTCTTGGGGATTTCTCAGGGCCTTTTCGGGCCCCTCTTGGGGCTCAGGCTATACCTACGTGGTTGGGGGTTTCTCTTGGAGTTTTCTGGGGCGCCCCCCCCTGGAGCCCTCTTGGTACCCTCTTTGGGCGCTCTTGGGGTGGTCTTGGTGGCCCTCTATGGCCACCTTGAGGCCTCAGCAGCCCGTCGGGGGCGAAAAGGCGAGGGGACAGACACGAATTTCTGTCGCGGTTTGCGGGGCGGTTCTTGTCTCTCGGATGGGGTCCTGTTGGTGGCCCCAGCGGCGCGCGGCGCCGTCTTTAGCCCCCTGAGGGCCTCGCGAAGGTATGTCAGAAGCTATCTTGAACCATCTTTTGCTATCTTGAGTGTTCTTGTGTTCTTGGGGCAGAATGCCCTCTAACGATGTGCGGGGGGGCCGTCCAGATTCTGAGGGGGGATGGGGGTAGGAGAAGGGGTGGACAACTTCTCGGCAGGGGAAGAAGAGAACGGGTTGCAGGAATCGCCGTAAACATAATCTTTTGGCGCTCCGCGCGGATTTCTTGGGTTCGCGCTGGGCCCCGCCCCCTGGGCGCCTCCGGCGCCGCCCACGGCGCGTTCAGCGCGCCAGGGGGCGAGGTCCAGCGCAGATCCAAGAAATCCTCGCGGAGAGCCGAAAGTTTATGCTTATTCAATTGTTTTTTCTTCCAGTGGTGAAATGGGAAAGGGGGAACCCATAATAAAACCTTCGCCCACAAGTGGCGGCGGGAGATCCACTGATTCGTTGCTCGGCTTCACAACGCAACTTCCCGAGCTCCACAACCTGGATGTGCTTACAGTAGCTTGAGTACTGCAGTAGGAGACGTCATGTGTTAGTCCTGGAGTCCATGGTTCAATCTTCAGCGACAGTCTGCGGGCTCCATAATCTTTGGCTGCTTTGCCTCGGAAGGTCTCCAGGGAATTATTGCT